GGGTTTATGTGTGCATCCCTATTGTCCTCCAACTCTCTATGTAGACCAGAGTGAAATGTAGCTCACAGAGATCCTGTTGGTCCCAACCCATCCGTGATTCTATGTCACATCTCCTCGTCTACCTCCCCTTTCTCTATCCTAGGTTTAGAGGATACTTTCTACTCTATACAGCTCGATCCAGACTCTTATGCCTTCTTTTCATCTACTGATGCCAAACACCCTGGAAGATGGCAAAAATAAAATAAAATAAAATAAAAAATAATGCCATCATTACAACTCACTGCGTCTGTGTCTATTTTTTTCCTCTAACCAGAAAAAGATGGTTCTCCTCTTTCCTTTTCTCCTCAGCCCCCCTGAGTTCATGTGTGGATGCCCCTACCTGCTGGGTTATCTTCCTCCCCTAGAGTCTATACCCTTAAGTAAATAGCTCCTTCTACCTGCTCAGACAGCTTCTCAATCAGTGGATAGCAAATCTTACTAATCCATCTCTAAACCCTGGAGATCAGGTATACCTCAAATAATCTCATTCCCAAACACCCTTTGACCCTCTGGACTGGATCTCACGTGACAATATTCACAACCCGACAGTCACAAAGCTCCAAAGAATTATCAACTGGTTTCATCTCTCACAGCTCAAAGGCCAAGCCAGCACAACCAAACTCCACCTCACTGGGAGGTAAGTAATCATCCACTCCCTCAGAGCCTCTTAAAGTTCAGATCTCCCTTGTCTTCACACTACTCCAATGCAAAAATGCTTACTACAAGGCTGCTGCTCTCTCCTTTCACCATCCTCTTGCCCCTCTATGTGTCTTTATTTTCTACTCCTTCACATGCTTGGTGTTTTGATGTTTTGTTACTAAAAAATGGTAAATTGTGGTGGTAACATCTTCAACTACACTTTTTGTCCTTTCTCTGGGTTCTCTAAGCAATTAACCTAATTTTCTCTTTCATGGATCAGTTGAGTAGTTCAGATTGTATTCAGCCTAACTAAAAGAGGCACAGAACCTAGCAAAATAACTCTGTCTCACAAATGACCAAATACAACCATGGTGTATCACACATCAACCACACTAAGCAGGATGTCCTTCCTGGAAATTCTAGTACCATTTAACCATAAAAGGTCAGGGGTTATGCTCAATCCTTCAAGCTACTAAATCTAAAGAACATTTTTACCTTCTCAATCACATGCCCCCTAGACATCTGTGGTTGTTGAAGGTAAAAAGCACTGTGGGTCTGCATAATATACACCAAGTTGTAAACATAAAAATTCTTTGATCTCTCCATATTTCACAGACTGGTTTTTTGATCTCCTAACTGAAGTCCATGGAGCTATAGCATTGATGGCACCCAGATCCAGCGAAATCTCAGATCATCCTTGAGTAAGCATCCTGGAAGGATGCCCCAATGCCTCCCTGAGACTTCTCACTTAACCTAGCCTTCATCACACTACCTGCTTCCTCTGCATGCCTCTCAAAAACCACCTAATGAGAGCAACATCTTTTACTGCCATCTGCATCCTCTTAGCTCAAATGCATTTAAAATGCGGTAAATGAGGCATACTACACACTTTTAATCAATTCCAAACATGTCCTTCTTCCAGACCATATCTGCCTTTAGGCTCTCCTTGAGGGAGAGGCAACTCTAACACTTGGAAGAGTCAATGCAAGACTTTCGGCTCTCCGAGTGAATAGCAGAAAGTTGCTAGAAGTGACCATCGATGCTGCCTAAAATAAGTGAAAGGGCAGGATTTTAGGCTCACCCAAGTCCCTGGCCAAGATGCAACAGGATCCTTCAGGGAAATAAAAGTTGCACAATCTTCAGGTTGGGAATTTAACCCAAGTGGTAACCTTATTTTTTTTTTCTGTTTACCACAAGCTCCCTTCACCCTAAATGCTCTCCAGGCAGTCTCCTTCCCAACTTAAACCATCCAATAAGCATTTCAACTCCCTTTGGCAGTGTTGCTCGCCCTTCTCTCAGAGACATCCTGGCAGTTTGTACCTCAACAGAGTTTCGTATTTGACCTCAGAGCAGCTCCAGGCCACACACTCCTGTAAACCATACAGACATGTAGTTAGGAGAGCAATGTTCCCAAAATTATCTTTCTCCTAATGCCACAATCTTGCATATGAGTTAAATTAAATAGTAAACCTGACTTTTCAGATGTGATTAAAGACCATGAAATGGAGAGATTTTTCTGAATCAAGTAGGTGGTCTAACCTGATCATGCGGTTCCACAATAGAGAAGAAAGGGCATCAGAGGAAAAGTAAATTTTAGTCCAGTAAGGTCTCTCTGAACCTTTGGCCTTCAGAACTGTAACAGAGATTTATGTTGTTATTTTTCTATGCCTATTTGTGTATTTTTAAGATTTATTTCTTCATTTTGCGTGTGTGTGAAGTGCATGCATGTATGTGCAGCATTTGCATATCTAGTGCCTGCAGAGGTCTGAAGATGGCATTGGATCCCCTGGAATTTGGTTTAGGGATTGTTGTCAGCCACCATGGGGTGTTGGGAGCCACATGTGGGTCCTCTGTAACAGCCGCTGGTGTTATTAGCCGCGGAACCATGTCTCCAGTCCCTCAGTGAGATTTTGCTTTTAAGTGAAAGAGCTTATGTAAATCTGAGTTTGTTTTGTTGATGAGGTTTCTCTTTTGTAGACAGCGTCTCTGTGTGTAACACTAGATGGCCTGGAACTTGTTATGCAGTCCAGACCAGCCTCTAACTCACAGAAATATTCCTGCTTCTCCTCCTCTGGAGCTGAGATTAAAGGCATGCATCACTATACACAGCCTATAAAACTTCTATTGTATGACTTTGTATATTTCCTGAAAATTATCCAATAGCTCCATCTAAACAATGCTGGCAAGAAAGAATATTGTGACCCTAAGGGTGCCCAGGTGCTGTATCTCACTGCTGTTGCCTTGCAGGACAGAAGCATACATACTGTGTACCACCAGCCAGGAGCACAGGAAACTCACATTTCATTTCCTTCAATTACTGGTGAGTTGTAGTGACTGTGACAAGATGGTTTGAACAGCTGTCACCTGTGGGTGGCATCAGTGTCATTAGGAGTTACAGCCTAGTGAAGACCATAGCTCTTATTTTCATTTTCATCTCCAGCTGCAATATTGGAAGACAAACACCTTACAGCTTTACTGAGAGTGGTAAAATACATTCAAGGACAAGCTTGTCAGTAACACTTCCCTTCATTTTACATATGAAGAAACCCTGTGACTGGGACTACAAAATTTAATCAAGATACTGGCTTAAAAATAGAGTAATCTAAACTTTCTTAGTGTATCATTGAAAGAAAGTTTTTACATAAATACTAATCAGTCAGGTCAGAATATCAACAAATTTCTTTTCTTGAATTAATATTGCAATGTTGCAATTTCCCTGAATCTTTACATGCTGCAGGGAAGCTAGGAAGGCAGGAAATATACAACTCAAAATACCGATGACATTCCAGAAACTTACCAATTCACTAGACAACTCCCTTCCCAAGAGTGTTGATGTAGTAAGGACTGCTGAGAGTCACAGTCAGACAAGCCCAGTTATCAGGAGGAAGCAGAGACAAGCTGAATTATTAGGAAGACTGATAGAGCAACTGTGCCACCACCAAAGGACTCTATGGTTGTCTGAATGAGAACAGCCACCATGAGTTCAAATATTTGAATGTTTGATCCTCGGTTGTTGGAAATTTGCAGAAGAATCAAGTGATATCGCCTTGTTAGAGAATATATAAATTATTGGTGGAGCTGTGGCCTTGTTGGAGGTGGTGTGTCACTGGAATTGGAGAATGTAATAAGCCCACCCCATTCCCAGTTAATTCTCTTGCTCTGTGGTTGTCTTCTCCTTTGTAAGTTCTTTAGCCACTGCCCCAGTGTCATGCCTACCTTCCTGTTGCCACTCTCCTCAACAAGATGGTCATAGACTCATCCTCAGACATTGTAAGCAAGATACCAATATCTCTACTGAAAATTGACTTGATCATAGTATATGAGTCTCTTCCCAGAAAAAAAAAAGTAACTGAACTGTCTGTATGTCCCGTGCGATAGTCTCGCCAGCAAGAACCACACAGGACATTCGGATCCTTCTGCAGGAAAGCTTTAATGCATCTTGAGAGGAGAGCATAACCTTCCCAGAGCGGAGACCCGGAGCCAAGAATCCCATCCCCTAATAAAGGCTGGCAGCCGCCGCCTGGGACGTGTCACCCTATGATTGGCTTCAGCTCATCAGTCCATATGACGCCACGGAATAGGCAGAGATCAAGGAAATGGAAAATTACCCAGCGCCTGCGCAATAATTTACATTCAGTGCCTGCAGGCACCATCATTGTAATGGAGAATGCAGGGACGGCTCCCTACATCTGTAGGTTTTGCAATGTGTCCCAGGCTTCTAGGTTTTGTGAGCAACACCCATGCTGGGTTTGGTTTTGTTTATGTGATGCATCTGTCTTTGAGTCATTTCTACTCTGGTTAGTAATACCTCACCCATATTTCTCTAAGTAACCCCAATAAAAGTCATTGGTGCAACAAGATAGATATTGGTGATATCTGTACTTTGCTCTACCATATGTTACCTTTCTTAGATGAGTACATGTGTGTCTTGCATCACACCAGGAAAGTCTGTCTCACAACAACCACACCCAGTTTAATGATATAAAGACATTTGTTATTCTGAATATTTGTAGAAAAAAATCCTTTCTGCATAAAGGCCTTAACTGAATACAACCCAGTGAGAAGCCTCACAGCCACTATCCTGAGACCTTACCTTCCTTACACAGATGATTTGAATACTCATGTGTTTCACACACTGTTCTGGTCTCTGAAAATACAGAAGTGAATTACACACAAGACATTCCTATTAATTTTCTGGAAGTAAAATGGACTGCAAAGTAAAAAGGGCTAAATAAAGTTGGAGCAGAACACTGAGAAAATTATTTTCCTAAATGAGATATGCTTGCATTTATCTGAAAATAAAAACACAGAGTCAAAACATATATGGCTTACCTTATTATTTACTAATTTTATCTGCATATGTATAGCTCAAGCGTGGAGGTCAGAGGACAACTTGTCCTTCCACCATGTGAATCCAGACGTAGAACTCAAGTTGTCAGGTTTAGTGACAAGTGTCTTTATCTTCTGAGCCATGTTGCCAGCCCTGAACATATACTTGAATAGAGAGCAATGGCATGTCCTATGTGGTGATGCACAACTATAATTCTAGCCATCTGTATATTACATAGACACCTTCTTACAAAATAAAATGTTATAAATGTGTATGGTGCTAAGGATTAATAGAACATGCTTGCCAGGCAAGTGTAACTGGTTCCATCTATATAGCAAGGAAGTCGGGTGACAGAACTAATAAAAGTGTCCTGCTATTTTGTTTCTTTGTGGAGTCATCAATGCAGGGCCATTAGTGATACAAGAGAAACTGTAATATTTTTTGTTCCAACTCAACAATATGAAAACTATTGCAAGATAAGGCATCAAATACTAAGAAGTTTTAGTAATAAATTGTTTCTTGATCCTAAAGGAATCAAAAGGGGAGTTTAAGTGATATACTAGTGTATGAATTATCAAAAAATTAAATTAAGAAAATAAAATGGCATTGCTTATAACATGGCCATAGTCTAATGTAATTAAAAACCATTACTTGACAAGTAAAGTCCAAAACAATTTTGAGAAACATTCTTGATGAGTTACATTACAGAATATAAAATATGTGTTTTAACTTAGCTAGATATCCTTGCATATTGGTCATTGAGTTTGTAAAAGAATGTTAATTGTGTTTCCAAAAATATTTGGAGGGTACAGTCTAAGTATCATGTTTCTTGTGATTTTTTGAATCATTCCACAACTTTCAGTCACCCCACATTTTTTTTTTTTGTCCTACTCATTCAAAGTAAGAAGTAATGAAAAAAATCGTTACTGGTCATAAAAGTGGAGGTCACTAATACTGATTGATTGTGGTTTAGGTTTCAAGATATGAGTACCAACTCATACCTGAACACCTACTTAGTTTAAAACCATTCATTGTCTCCCAAGCACACACATGAATAGTCCTCAAGGATAGTTTTTGCCTTGAAGTTAGCGTACATTGTGAATGGGTTTTCATAATGATTTGTGAAGATCAAGAATGAAGCGGCACCTGTAGGTAATATGATACAGCTTTCTCATGGATGTTTTGAAACATTCTCTAGCCTGGATTTAAAAGTACTGGTCACTGGGCACTGTAAAGTGTAGCTGTTGGACTTGCTGCAAATCCACTTCCTGTGCGTATAGTCCCTGCCACTGCTGATCCCTCTGTCACTCAGGTAGGCACACTCTCCTGCTCCTTGGGTGGGAACCCTGAAACAAAACAAAACAAACAAACAAAAGATTTCTACAGGGGTCTGCATAACATTCCACTGAAAGTGTCGTTTCCTGCGGGTCCATGGCAAAAGTAGGGTCATTCTAGGGTGAATTTTAGATTAGCAAAGCAGCAGGGTGAGTCAGCTTCTGGTGAACTGACTGCCCTTCTCAAAAGACCTTTTCTACTGTTGTATCCTTTGCAACTTAGCAAGTCAATTATCAAACACCAAAACCTCTTCTCTGGAGTCCCTTGAAGGACTTACTAAAGCAATTTTCAGTCACAATACTTACTGGTTTTCTAAGTACTCTCATAAGCAAGTTTTGCAAAGGCCTTGAACTCTACAACAAAAACTCAGATAAGATTCAAACCCTTCAAATAAAAGTTATCAGTAACATAAGGTAGCATCACACAGGCAGGTCAAAGCCTAGTTGCTAACAATCTGGAATTCAAACCAGGTGCAATGTTCTTCATAATCTCCAATCACATTTCCTCCTGCAATGAAATATCACCCATCTCCACTTCTTGTTTGCACAATGAATCAAAGAAAGGCAGAGGCCGTCAGGAATCACATGCACTATTTTAGCGCCTAGCATCTTTTACATTATCAGAGTCTATTTGAAAACCACACCTTTGTCATTGATCCATGTTGCACTCTGTAATGTGTGCAAAAAACATTTGACTAGTGCTTGTTGCCATGTTCAGATGAACTGCTCCCATATGTGGCCTCACTGAGGTGAATTCCAACTCTCTCTTGAATTATTTTGTAAATTGTTGAAAGGGCTTAAATGATGGTGATGACTTAGTCTGTGATTCACCATCCAGCCGTAATGCTCCATATGACACTGTTATGCTCACATCTAAGAGTCTTGGGGTGCTCTTTGATTACAGACTTTAGAGGAGGTCCCTAATGCCCCTGGAGTCTCTGCTTCTGTGAACAAGTGCAGCTGTGCAAAGAATGGACTGAGAAGTCTCAGACTTGCCTGTCTGCTGTGTCTTACTGGGACTTCAGAGTCCTCACTGACCATCTGCAATTAAGTCTACATCTTGTAAGGGCATTTATCACCAGGGAAAAGTTTTAAGTTGGTGATAGAGCAGACAACAGCAATCCCAGATGCCATCAGTATGATCGAGTGAAATCACAGTAAATAAATGGTTTGAAAATGATGACAGATAAATGGGAGAACATCCAAAGGATTTGAATTTGTGGGGAAGTGAATTTTGCTGTGAATTGACTTTGCATGTAGGCACATACCCTGTGTCCTAACCACACCTCCAGCCAAAGGGTTTATGTTTCTTCCTTTCCAGTACAGTTCCCTTCTTATGACACAGTCATTCTTCTCTTATAGACATAACTCACACACTTCCCATCAAATGATCACAGTAGAAGGAAAAATGTTCTGAAAACATACAAGTTGTTATATTCACTGTTGTCTGTCCACATCCAAGGATGTTCTGGTGACTCTCTGTGAAGGCCGATCCAGTGGTCAGAAGGTCCCTTGTATCTCTTCAGGAAATTCTGCCATAAAACATGGAAAGCAAATACATGTGTCTCTCAGCTTTAGATGATCCTTGAATGCCTCTGACCTACAGTCTCCTCTCAGCATGGCAGCAGGGTGTACTGACGGTCATTGACCTTGGCGTCACACTAACCCTCACTTTTCAGTGGATAATTTTACATCTGTAATCCAAAGTAACTTGATGACCACCCTTCCCTCCGTGGCTGGGAAAGTCCCTTGTGAGGCCTGGTCTTGTAGGTATTGACAGTTGTCATATTCAGTTTGTAACACCTGCATATGGTCAGCATGGATCTCAGTAGATTGTGTGGCCTTGAAGGCTGACTGTGAACACTACATAAGAACCTGTCTCTGGAAGGTCTCAGGGTTCCAGCCAGTAGCAATAACATCAGTAAATGGCACACACTAACATGTTTCCAAGTCCCCTGATGCCTGGTTTGGAATCCTTCTGATGCTTCACCTTTACAATCTCTATCTCAAGGCAGTACATATTCAATAGGATAAACAACAAACCAAGTCCTGACCATTTCTTACCAGCTCCTCCAGGCTCTCAAATAGAACTAGTTGGGCTTCTAGTTCCATGCAAGAGGTCTGGCTGAATGTCCAGTTTATCATGTCTTTAGAAAAATAAAAACATTTACTTCCAAATCCAATCCAGTCTCTTGGGCAGGTGGCATAGCAAGGTCCACATCTCTCAGTTACTGGTCTCACTAAAATGTAAACAGTGGAATGAAATATAATAAAGAAACATTTCATGTCTGGTTGCTTTGGCTAGCCACCCAAATTTCAGAGGTGAGGTGTGTGCTTGGACTGTGCTTTCATAACTGGTCACTAGGAGATCCCTCCTGGGAGGATGAATCCCAATTCAGAACCTTCCAGTGGGGTTCTAAAGAGATGTTTATTTCTTGTTTTCTCTGTATTTTATGTTTTGAGAACGAATCTTGGTATGTCCCCCAGTCTGCTCTAAATGTCACAATGTGGACTGGGCCTATCTGGAGTTTGAAGTAACCTTCTTGGCTGTGCCTCCTGAGTGCTGGGACTAAAGACACTGAACCCTGTAAGGAAATCATTTCTAAGCTATAACTCAAAGTGTAGTGATGACTGCTCATCCCTCTCTTGCTGATTCCTGGAATTCTTCAGCTGCCTTTAACAGGTTAGAATGCATATGTTATGCTTTAGAATGTCTACCAAATGGCAAGAAACACGTGATTTGGTAAGAAATATTAAATCCCAGAAGTGACTCCCTTCCCATTTTTTTGGTGGAGGCCAATTTGTAGAAGCTGTTCCTGTTCTCCTGTCCAGTACCATGAGGCTTCAGTGAAAGGGAAAATGCAATGGGCACTGAGGGTGACTGCCCTTCTTTTTATCTGTCTCTTTTCAGAGCTATGTAATAGCTTAGGTTACACTGACTAAGACTTGTTGGCAAATGTTTGTCCTGTTTACATTTGTGTCTTATTCATTGATGGCATAAAAGTTGATTTTATAAGACAATATCATGGTACATTTACTCCAGCTACAGCTAGAAAAGCTGTACACAATTTTATCACATTATTCAAATAGTCTACAACTAAAAGCTTAGGAGTGACATACTTCTAGAACTTTCTAGTTAATAATTTTAGACCATGATTGAAGATGGGTCATGGGTGGGGGATGGGGCGTCTGTACCTTCCCCAACCTTTTACTCTTCATGCTCTCACTTCTTTTTAGCTGCAGCAGCCTCCATGAGGCTTCGCCTTTGCATTTTTCCTCTTTGTTCTCTGTGTAGAATAGTTCCCACAGGTGGACATAAGTCTCCTGCATCTCTGAATGTCATTTTTCTAGGATTCTGAGCCTGACGTCCTGTGTACACCACAGCCTGTGCTGTCTCTTCTCTGCATCTCTCTACAAGACCCTAAGTTCCCAGAGAACAGGAATTTCCAGTGTGTTTTCTCTAGAGCCCTCTTCACACAGCACCTGGCTCACAGTGGTTAATAAGTATAGATGACAATTTAAATGTGGATAGAATGCTGTATAATTTGGAGAATAAGTCACTTACCTAAGAACCCAACACAAAACCCAGAAATGGTGACAACCATGATAAACATATAGCAGCAATGAAGCTTAGTGGTACCTTCAGAGAAGACACTTTTGCAATATCGATTTTGGAGCTTTTCATCTGAAAATATAAGTATCAAAGCCATGAATCCAGAACCTTTTAGGGAAAAAGACAAATTTATCCCAAGATCATCTGAAGATTTGTTTTGTACTTCCCCAGTGCAAACCCCTTCACAGAACACCCTGGTCCATAATGATGTTCTTGGTCCACAGAAGCCTAGAGGAAGGGAAACAATTTCTGTAATGGATTCTTTCTCATTTATAGAGCCAGTGAAAGCAAGAAACAGAAAGCGTTCCAGGCTTTTTCTTTTGGGCCACCTCCAAGCTCCAAATCATGACACTGAGACTTATTTTTAGTTATGAATGCTTGGCCTTGTTTTTTTTCTTTTAACTCAAATTATCCTGTTTCTCTTTTTCTACATTTTTTTGCCTCAGCCTTTTGCCTTTCATTCTTTCTTCATATCTTTTCTTCTGTCTCCATATCTGGTTAGTGGCTGCCTGGCTTCTGGCCCTGGACATGTCCTTCTCTTTTCGTCCTCTTCTTTCTTCTTTCTTCTTCCTCTGGAGTCTAGATTTCTCCTTCCATTCTCTCTGCCCACCAGCCCCACTTCTTCCTTTCTTGCATGGGTATTGGTTGATCAGCTTTTTATTATACCAGTCAGGTGCCTTAGGCAGGCAACATAAAACAACAGCACATCTTTTCATAACTACACAAATGTAACAAAAACAAATGTAACATATCTTTACATTGTTAACAATGGCAGCAGAAACAAATGTAACACACCTTTACATAGTTAAAATAATATTCCACAACAAGAATGAATATCACACTTAAATAAACCAATAACAATAAAGTTATCAATATTTAGTTCCATAAGAATAGACTTGGCTAGGCCTGAAGTGACCATAATAAAAATGAAAAGAAAAAATCCATATGCATGTGGTGGCACTGGACCATCACTATCCCATATGGTAGGAGGAAGTGGGGTCAGGAGTTCAAGGACAGTCTTAGCTAAATATTGAGTTTCAAGTTGCCATGGGCAATATTACACCATGATCTGTCTGTCTATCATCTGTCTGTCTGTCTGTCTGTCTGTCTGTCTGTCTGTCTGTCTATCGATCATCTATCTATCTGTCTGCCTGTCTATAATCTATCTATTATCTGTCTGTCTATCTATCTATCTATCTATCTATCTATCTATCTATCTATCTATCTATCTATCATCATCATCTATTTACCTAAATTCCATCTAACTATAATGAACTAACTAAATGTAATTCAACGGATTAACAGAAAAAGAAAATAAAAAAGAGCATTTCAATAAATTCAGCAAAAGGACATGCAAAATTCAACTTAAATGTGCAGTAACAACTCTTAACACATAAGGAATTGAAAGAAATACCTCAAGCTGAAAGGAATTATCTATGATAAACCCAAACAAAACTCCAACCACAGCCAGCATGACTGACCCAGAGCAAGGCTAGAATGTCTGCTCACCATTCTAGTGTGACTCTGCAGGTCCTAGCCAGGACAATACGGCAAGAAAAAGAAATAACAGTCATGACTCATAAAGAGAGATAAAGGTGTTGCTATCAGCCAACATGGATATATCTACAAGTAAAGTTCTAAGGGTTTACTAGAAGAGACCTAAGAATAAGGAGTGAGTTCACTGTAACATGATAAATAAAAGACCCAGAGACTGATATTGGGGTTCAAACTTCAAGCTGAAGGTCAGAAAAACAAAGCAGCTGTCCAATAGCTCAACTTCAGACTGAAAGGTTACCCTGGCTCCACGAAAGCTAAGACTGTCATACCAGACTGTTATGCTCTCCTCAACACAGCCAGAGAATCCTCAGACTGAATGCCTTCCTACCCTCAATGTGGCTGGAGAATGAATGACAGCTCTCAGACCCTCTTCCTGTCTTATGTACTCCCCTAATGCTGGGTTTAAAGGCACATGATCCATTGTTTATCTTTTAATTCCTTTTTTACAGGGACCATATCAAAGAGTATTCATTTCACTAAAACCAATGAACTTTTCTGGTGTGCCAGTGAAGCTTTTGGTATTGTAACCAAGAAATCTTGGCCTGAGACATTATCTCATTCAGAACTATTTTTGTTCTTCAAGCAGATTTAAATTTATAGGCTTCATGTTTATGTCTATGATGAATTTGCATTCAATTGTGCACAGGCTGTAGTGTGAACCTTCACCATGGGAACCAACTGTGTCAATATCACATACAGAAAGGATATCGTCCTTTCTCTAGCAAAGAACTGTCCCCCTTGGCCAGTCGACAGTGCACATGTGCACCCACCAATAAATGCATACTCAAAATAAACACATATTCACATTATTAAAACAATCCAAAGATTGAACCAAATGACAAATTCAAAGTAATAGATGCATTAAGTATGCTCAATAATAATACTACCAACATAGGATGAAATAGAGAAAAACAGTTTAGCATTTTGTTACAATGAGATACATTTACCATAAGCGCTGGTCCTCTTATCCACATATCCAGTAAAGGGAAATGCCTGTGTTTACATTCAAACCTGACTGTATTATAGCAGTTTTATGAATCAACCCTGTGTTTTGCAACATGTCATATATGTCTGAGCTTGTGATCAAGTAAACTGACATTGTGCATCACCAGGGAAAAATGACTGAAGAGGAAAACTGGCAGAAAGAAAGAAGATGGCTACAGCTTTGGGAATATTAAATTTAGCTAAAAAACATCTCCAGCTGTTTTCCAGGATTCCCAAAATTCTTTCACTAAAACAAAGAAGCAAGCAAAGATAATTTAAAGGAAGAGGGAAGAAAAATAAATATAAAAAAATGAAACAGTTTCAAAATACAGTGGACAATTTTCTTTCTGTAAACTGAAATAGTATTCCATAGGATCTCAGTGTCCAGAAAAACGGCTCAACTTTATCTTGGCTGTAAGTTCAGAAAGCTCAACACTATACTTACTCTTCCAAGGTTAAAGTCATGAGAGATAAAGGTCTAAGGCTAGGCTACTTACTGTAGGATGTTTGGTCTTGGTAATTGATTTCTTATCTAAATAATAAGAGGTGAGGTTACTCTTAACCTTCAAGGCCAGATAAGGAGAAATTTAGTTTGGGTAGTTAAGGAATAAGGTCTTTTTATTCCTTGTATCATGATAAAGAAGTCTTTTGTCATGTTCCTCTTTTTGGTTGGTGTATTTAAGAACGTTGAAGAACAAAGTTGGCACATTCAGTATTCACTGGATTGCCCTCCTGACTTTATTCTGTGTCTATGTCTTTTCTTAGGGTCTTTACTTGCCATTTCTCAATCCACACTCCACCTCTCCGGAAGTGTTATTCTTTTGTTTAAAAAGAAGAAAAGAGAAATGCTGAGACATGAGACATATTGACTATAAGTTTATTATGAGGCCCGGCAGAGAGGGGAGACTAAGAAGAGGAAAAGGGTAATGGCTGACTGCCATGGTCAGTCACCATACAGAGAAGAAAAGAAACAGAGAGTAGGAAAGAAAAAAAGCAGAAGAGAATGAAAGCAGAGTTAGTTGGAGCTTTACAGGGAAGACTGCGCATGCACACTGAGGTTGAATGCATGCCCAGAGCAGAGTCCTCATGGGTGACAACACAACCAAACGAAAAATATGCTTTAGGCTCTTATGATTAATTAATTGTTCATTTCTCTTGCCCAGAAATATTTCAGTATTATATACTCTTAGAGAGTAAGTAAAATAACAGATACCCCCAGGTACTTCTACAGAGAACCTCCATGACAGGCTAACAGGCAGGAGGTTCTGCTTCTCGGTGAAACCCTGGTGAACACTCTCTGTTTGATTTATATTGCATATGATACCTACCCATTTCTCCCTCTTGAAGGAGGTCTGCTCTGGTGGGCTCTGTCTGTAACATGCACATGGAAGCTGTTGGAGCCTCTTCTGCATTCATCTTCGAGGTGAGTGGTCAAGTTACAGCAAGACTGATATTGGAACCAGAGAGGAGAAATTGTTTTCAATCATGGGCAGATCCAAACAAGCCCACTGGTAATACTGTTCTGTTCGTAAGGAGTCCTGTTAACTCCTCTAGAGCAGAACATCTGTTCACAGAGTTCTTCCTATCATGAGATAGGAGAGGGGGTCGAGACATGGACTGCAGTGTACTGTAAACAAAATAACAGCAATGCAAAATATTGTATCATTCAACAGTGAAAAATGCTTTTAGTTTTGGGTAGTATTTATTTATGTTGGAAACAGGCTCTCACTGTGTAGCTATGGCCAGTCTCAGACTTATCTCTGAGATAAATGTATCTCAGAAGGATATAGCACCCATGTTGCAGTGTGATGAAGCATAATAAAGAAAAAGGGGGAGACCGTTTGTGGGGGAAGTCGTCCCTCTGTGCCTCCATTCCCTGGAGACTCTGTAGAACCTCATGGACCTCATTTCTTCTTGCTCAAAAAATAAGACAGAGGAGAAAGATGGCCAAGGACAGCCCATCTTATGGAACAGATTACAAAGGAGGGCCTTTGTGCACTGGACTCTGGCTGGCTTGTTTGTGGGCAGTGCAGTTGCAGACCTGCTAAAAAAAGAAGCTGACGAGATGACTCTGGGTGAGGACCTATTGCCAACCACTCTGTACTATGAGGGATCCAGAGAGGTGGATTTACAACTCCCAAAATAATGCATCATCAGGCATTTCTCCTGGTCCAGC